TTAGCGAGCGCCGCCACCATACCAACTAAATACAAACACTATGACAAGACGTGCTCATATTGATTGCACAAACATACATATGCATCTACTACATATATGTATATAGGTATGTATGTATGTATGTACATGTGAACATTATGACTGCTACTTGCCGTCATTTGAATTGCTCTATTTGATCTCATTCGCTAGTTAAGCGCATTGGTGTGAAAAAGTCTATCGCACGGATACGCGATTTTATAGCTGATTGTTTTGTTGTCGTTACGTCGTAGATATATCGCTGTCGGTACTGTTAGCATCCGATTTCTTTTTTTTTATTTTTTGTTTATAGTTTGTGTCTGTTTATTCGTGCATTGTGTTATTTTTCACACAAAGCTTAGCTCAGCACTGCCTAAACTGTGGTGAACGTACGCTGCGATAGGCTATATTTGAGTGTTTGTGCAAACTTTGCGTGCGTTTCACTTTTTTCTATTATAGGCGAATTCGCGTCAATCGGTGTGAGTGTGAATTCGTGCTGCGGCCATAGCGCGCTGTGCATTTGATAGTCGAGCCGAGAGTTTTACAATATTTTTTTGTTGATTTTAACGTATTTTTTTCTTCGTTGTTTGTAGTTTTTTCGTATTTTTTTAATGTATGTATGTATGCACTTAAGGCGTGAATATGGCGCTCAATCGGCATACGGTGTCGCATTAATTTAATCATTCGAGCTTTGAGCTGCTGTGTGTTATTTATTTATAAAAATAAAATTACAAAAAAGGGTAATTTTTCGGCCAATTGACGGTGTATATCAAATTCTGCGCGCTTTTATGTGATTATTTATACTTTTGACGTAGAATACGTCTTACCTTAAGGTATGGGGGCTATGTTCAAATGTTGTAGTTGTAATTTTTAGAGCTTCACAAAAACGCTTATTGCACGAGAACTAATAAAGCGATTTCAAAGAAAAGTGTGGCGTTTCAAAGATAAATTGTTATCGCTTTTGTTATCGATATTTTTGTCGCTTTTGTCATCAATATTTTTATCGATTTTTCTATAGATATTGTTATCGCTTTTGTTGTCGGTATTTTTATCGGTTTTTTTTACCGATTTTGCTATCGATATTGCCATCGTTTTTGTTATCGATAGTTTTATCGATTTTTTTATCGAATTTATTACCGATTTTGTAATGGATTTTTTGATAGATTTTGTTATCAATTATGTTATTGACTTTGGAATCGATTTTGTTATCGATTTTGTTATCGATTTTGTAATCGATTTTTCG